GATCCCAGGATAAGGTTGTGAATTACAGATAAAAATGTGAGCTTCCTTAGCTAAACAAATAGAAATGGAAATTGTGAGCTTGAATGAGATCACCCAGGGAGAGAAGTTAGAAGAGGAGCAAGAACGGAACACTGAGCATAAGCTGAGAAGACAGATGTATATAGCAGAATAGGTAAGAGAAGCTTGGAGGACTATTTCAAGCTTGATCAACTGTCAAATGTTCTTGAGAGTCATGTAAAATGTGAACTGTCCACTGGATTTAGTGAGAAAAGTTTATTGGTGGCCTCAGTGAAAGCTGTTTTGGTAGTGGTAGCAAAACCCAGATAGAAAAAGTTCCAGGAGTGCCTGGGAGGTGAGGAGAGGAAAGCACATGTAGACAACCCTTGAGAAGCTTAACTTTGAGGGGTTGGAGAGAGGTCAAAGGATTTTAGGAAGTCAGGAAAGAGAGAGCAATGTAGTAATACTGTAAGTGTTACTTAAATTTAATTCAACAAGTATTTTCTTGATCACATGAAGGGCAGGGAACTGAGAACTGAGAGATGAGTGAGCAGAAAGCAGTCCTCAAGTTGCTCAAAGTTGAATGGGGAGAGACAGGCCAATAATTATGTATATGGATAGTGCAATATTACACATGTTAGATACAGTGGTAGCACAGTATGTTTATTAGGAAAGAGAAGTGGGAAGACATCTAAGTCACATTTAAACTGAGTCATGAATTCTTTAGGTATTCCTGGTAGCTCAGCTGTAAAGAATCCCCCTGCAATGCAGGAGACCTGGGTTTGATTCCTGGGTTGAGAACATCCCCTGGAGGATGGTATGGCAACCCACTCCAATATTCTTGCCTGGAGAATCCCCATGGACTGTAGCCTGCTAAGCTCCTCTGTCCATGGGGTCACAAAGAGTCGGACATGATTGAGCGACTGAACAGAACTGAACTGAACCTCAACTAATAACTATAAAAACANATGTTTTCTATAATGACTATCTCAGAAAGGCATTTCACGCAGAGAGAAAAGTATCATTTATTGGAAAACTACATGAAGCCTTTAAAGAAAAAGGGTTCTTGGAATGGCATTGCCTAGATATAAATCCTGCCTCCAAGTTACCAGCTCTATGACTTTGGGTAATCACTATGTGTTTGCCAAGCCTCAGTTTCCTCATCTATAAGATGAAAGCTGATAATTACTATCTCAGGTTTTTAGGGAGGCTTAAAAGTTGAGATGTGCTGACTGTTGCACATCAAATATTCAATATACATTAACTCTGGTTATTATGGTAGGATCTAAGATGTAAAAAGTGTGAGAGGGTATGAAGCTTAAGAGGTAATCAGGAAGCAGATCATGATGGATTTATCAGGAAAGTCAGTATTGTTCCCAGAACTAATTAAAAGAAACCAGTACAATTATTAGAAGACAAACTGAAGTCAGATTTAATTCTGCTAAAAAAAAATCTTCAGGAAGCATCTTAATTATAATCTCCTGTTGCTAAGCCTAAGGCAACATCTATGTACAAGTACCTCTCAGGCTACTAATTAGGAGGCTGAATGGCTAATCTCTAATTGTGCAATTTACAAATTTTTTTATTACAATATCCTGTAGCATAATGCATTATTTTTCCATTAAGATTGTTGCTAAACTACATTTATCTAATTATTCTCTTTATATATATTTTTTGTATTAAAAAATGATAGTATAGCTACATTTTCATTTCAGTAAAAAAGCTATTTCACCTCTACCATTGAAACAAAATAAAACAAACCAAGATTAGCTGATCATGTACTTACTGTAGCTGACCTTGAGAGTATTGTAAGGGCATTTTAAGTGTAGAGTTACACTCCACAAAAACTGCAGGTAGATTTAAGGAAATTTGCATTGAAACTGTTGCCTCTATTTATTTGTCATAGTTTGGATGGATAAAGGTTTCTCTAGTTCCATCTTTTAGATTTTAATTTTGAGGTGGTTTTTTTTGGGGGGGGGCAGTTCAACTTCTCACTTACATGAACAGTATTCCTTCTGTAAAGAAATTTTTGCTTTGAAAAGATAATTCTGGGTCACCATTGTCTAGTATACTTAATTTAACCTGTTGAGTATTTTTTTTTTTTAGAGGTAAAACATAGAACACTATATTAATTTCAGGTATACAACATGATAATTTGCTATTTGTATACACTATAAAGTGATCAACACAGTAAATCTAGTTAGCATCCATCACTATACAACAGACCACTTTCACCATTTTGCTCACTCTCAGCCCTCTTGTCCTCTAATCACCAGTTTTTTCTGTTCACCTGTGTTTGGTTTTGCTTTGTCTGTTTATGTGCCTGTTTGCCATCTGCATGTCATCTCTAGAAAAATGTCTATTTAGATCCACTGCCCATTTTAAAATCAGATTATTTTATTTACTATTGTTTGAATTCTTTTGACATTTTAGATACTAACCCCTTATCAGACATATGATTTGCATTTCTATTCAGTATGTTGCCTTTTCATTCTGTGGATGATTTCCTTTATTGTGCAGCTTTTTAGTTTGATGTAAGCTCACTTATTTTTGCTTTCGTTGCCTTTACTTTTGCGTGCAGTGTGCAGTTGTGTCTGACTCTTTGCAGCCCTTTGGACTGTAGCTAGGTTCCTCTGTCCATGGGGTCTTCCAGGCAAGGATACTGGACTGGGTTACCATTCCTCCTCTGGGGATCTTCCTGACCCAGGGATCGAAACCACATCTCCTGTGTCTCCTGAATTGCAGGTGGATTCCTTTACCCGCTGAGCCATCGGGAAAGCCCTAAAAGGCTTTGCTTTTGGATTCAGTCTAAAAATTTATGCCAAGACCAAAGTCAAGGACCTTACTGCCTGTTTTCTTCTAGAGGTTTTATGGTTTCAGGTCTTATATTTAAGTCTTTAATCCATTTTAAATTAACTGTTGTGTACGGTGTAAGATAGTGGTCTAGTTTCATACATTGCATGTAGTTATAAAATTTTCCACTGTATATTCTTGGCTCCTTTATTGTAATTAACCATATACTTGTGGGTCTATTTATTGTTTTCTATTTTGTTCCACTAATCTGTGTGCCTATGTTTATGGTAACATCACACTCTATAACTTTGCAGTGTAGTTTGAAATCAGGGAGTGTGATACCGCTTTCTCAAGGTTGCTTTGGCTATTTGTGGTGTTTTTTTTTTTTTTTTCTATAAATTTTTTAGTTTTTTTTTTTCTTGTTGTGTGGCATGGCTTTGTAATTTTGATAGGGATTGCACTGAATCTATAGAATGCTTTTTGGTAATATGGACATCTTAACAACAGTAATTCTTCCAATGTATGAGCATGGAATATTCTTCAATATTTTGTGTCTTCTTTCATCAATGTCTTAACAGTTTTCAGTATACAAGTCTTTCACCTCTTTGGTTAAATTTATTTCTAGATATTTTATTTTTTGATACAGTTGTAAATGGAAGTTTAATTTCTCTGATAGTTGGTTAATAGTTTTAAAAAAAGCAACAGGTTTCTATATATTGATTTTGTATCCTGCAAGAGAATTCATGTTAGTTTTAACAGTTTTTTTTCCATGCAGTCTTTCTTTATACAGTTTTACATCATCTGTAAATAGTGAGTTTTACTTCTTGCCTCCCAATTTGTATGCCTATTTTGTTGAGTATTTTCAAAGTTAAAAATATCTTGATATCTTCATTTGGAATTTTCCACTCCTGATGAATCCCAGTGGTATAATCTTTCTACTGAAATTTCTAATGCTCATTCTGGTATTTAACATGGCATGCATTGTTAGTGCTGTTTTTGATACTTTTATGGAGTGATTTGTGTTACCTCATGTGTGTGTGTTTCAATTTCTCTAATTTTTTTCTGATGATCTGAGCTTATAAATTAGGCTTCATTTTACCAAGTTTATGTATATATACAATTGGGTCAAGTCTTCAAACTGTTTAATCAAGCACGTCCAATTAGCTGAACATAATTTCCTATGGTGTGCGTATTAGTTGCTCGGTCATGTCTGACTCTTTTAGTCCCCTGACTATACACCACCAGGCTGCTCTGTTCATGGAATTCTCCAGGCAAGAATACTGGAGTGGGTTGCCATTTCCTTCTGCAGGGGATCTTCCTGACCCAGGGATAGAACCCGGGCCTTCTGCATTGTAAGCAGATTCTTTACCATCTGAGCCACCAGAGAAGCCCAAATTCCTATGGTAGGAGGTCCTGAAATTCCGGCAGAATTGAAGATCTTTAGGTCTGTAGATGCTTAATAACCACACTGAAAAGAACTAAGGGCAGAGGGCAAATTCCTTCAAGAAATTATAATAGTGTCAGGGCAGGGGCAAGCTATAGCAGCTCAGCTCTATAGCCATTGGTTAGCACCGCAATGGGCTCCTCTCCCAAGCAATGGACAGGGAGCAACTGTCAACCCTCAGCTGTCACTGGTTATGCTCAGCGATTGGACTTCTCTGGTGGCTCAGACCCGTAAAGAATCTGCCTGCAATATGGGAGACCCAGGTTCGATCCCAAGTTCGGGAAGATATTGTGGAGAAGGGAATGGCTACCCACTCCAGTATTCCTGCCTGGAGAATCCCATGGACAGAGGGACCTGGCCGGCTACAGTCCATGAGGTCGCAAAGAGTCAGACACGACTGAGCGACTAACCCTAACAGAGTGGGCCCCTCTCCCACTTCTGTATAAAAGGAGCCTGAATTGAGATTAAGCAGAGGTAGCTTTTTGAGGCCTTAGTCGGTCATCTTCTCAGTCTGCTAACTTTCCAAATAAAATCGTTATTTCTTGTTCCAACAACTCGTCTCCTGATTTATTGGCCCGATTTATGGCCAGCATAACCAGCCAGAGATGACCTAAGGGCACGAGGCAAATTCCTTCAAGAAGTGCCTTTGGATTTCAAAATTTTTCCGTCCAAAATCTACCTTAACATCTGTAACCCAATACACGTGTATATGACTGAATAAAGAATGTTACTATAGAATACTAGACTATCTTACTCCAATACTTACTCGACTCTCTGAGAGGTTCCTGAAATTTCTCACTCTATTTCATATAAAACAAAAATTGTAGACCTTCCAGGTAGAAACCAGTTAAGCTGACTTCACGAACTACTAAAGGGTCGTTAAAGGCAAATTGAAACCGCTCCTCTATCCGTCTCTGCTGCTGCCCGGTCTTTCCTGGCCCTTTGGAAACGCGGCGCTGGCAGCCGGGAAGGTAACGGCCAGCGGAGAAGTTAGGAGCCGCACCTGCTTACAGCCCTTGACGGGTAGACCGGCTTCTTCTCCGGAAGCAGCTGGGCCCCAACCTACAGCCCGCGCTCGCTGGATGATGCGGAGCTCCACCAGTTTCCCTGCCCTCCGCTTCCTCGAAGTCCGTCCCGCCTCTCATCTGCTCTCAGCCAATTTCGCATCTCCTCTGCGAGGTGGGCCGAGCGCCGAGCAATCGATGCCTCCTCCCCAGGCTTGGGGGCCGCCATTTTGGGGGGAGGAGAAACACTAGTAGAGGCGGCAGCGGCTCAACGGGATGTCGACTGGCTTCTGCTTCTCTTGCCAGCGCTCTGGAGTTCGGGCAGAAGCCTTCATCGGGGCCACTCCTCCGCCTGCCTCTCCGGAATGAGGCCTAAGTTCCCGCACCGGAAAGCCCCCTTTCTCTTCCGAGAGTAAGTAGCACCAGGTGGAGCAGCGCGCCCCCGCGCGCCCTCCTCTGTCAGTTACCCCGCGCGTCCCCGCGGCCGCGCGCCGTTCCCCGCGCGCTCCCTCCCTCCCCCTCCCAGGCTGGGCGCTCGGCGCAGACTCGCTTGTTTGTTTCTGCAGGAGCCCAAGAAGAGGCCGAAGCCGAGACGATGCCTGGGAAGCTGAAGGTGAAAATCGTGGCCGGGCGCCATTTACCAGTGATGGACCGAGCTAGTGACCTGACTGATGCCTTCGTGGAGGTTGGTGCAAGGTCCTGCCCCTCCAAACGCAGGGAGCGCCAAGCCCTGTGAAGGATCCTAGCCACCTCGCCCGCCGTCCCTCAGCCCGTTCCCGGCCCCCCGGCCTGCCGAGTGCGGTGCTTGGCCAGCCCTCCCTGGAGAGCTGACTGCTGAGACTGCAGCCCATGTAATGGGTGCACGGCCCGCAGGCGTCAGCGGCACGCTCAGCCGCGAGGCAAGGCTGTAATTGTTCTGTCTGCAGGGGTGACCCTGATGTCAGGACTCCTAACAGGCCACCCGCCAGTCAGGAGATCCCAAGGCGTGGCCAGGCGGCCACTGAAACACACACACACACCCCCACATCCACCCTTCTTTGCGGGGAGGGTACCTGGTTTTTTAATGCTAGAGTGATGGAGATGTTGTTTCAGAATGTAGATACAGCCTGTTATGGACACGGGAGAGCTGCAGGGTGATCTCTTTAACAGTGATTTCTGAATCATCAGTGCAAGTTCTGAAACCCAAGTGTAACACTTTTCTGCTCTTGTATAGACTGGTAGGTCTGATGAGCTGTTTCAGGGTAATTTAGTGCCTTGAGGTAGGAAGCCAATTAAGTGCCATGGGTTTAAATTGCAAAATTGCTTTTTAAATCTAATGATTAGTTTAAAACTCATGCAAATTAGCACAGGCCTGGGGCCCGGAAAGTAATAATCCTGAGTCTGAAAGAAGCCTAGTAATACTGTAATAAAAAACTGTCAGGACGAGCCAGAGCATTAGAACAGTAATTGTTTGGGCTATTAATGCTTCGAGTTGATAGATACATGATAATATACAGCCTGATTCCATCTCAATATAAAATACTGTTCACGGTCCCTAAAGATTCTCTAACCTAGCCAAACATTGACATTCTTAGTCTCAACTTCATTTTTATTTGAGAAACAGTTATTGAGTGTGTTCTTGGGCCAGATGAGAAGTCATGGGGTTGCACAGATTGCAAAAGCATAGTCTTTGCTTTCAGGTATGTCAGAGACTGACCTGCACAGTTTAGGTTAATAAATAGTAGCTCACATGTATTGAGTCTTGTTATTGCCAGGTCTGTGCTAAGTATTTTTCAATTCTTAGTCTTTATATCTTAAATTTTAGTCTTACATCTTAGTCTTTATATCGGACTCCCCTGCTCACTCAGGCCATAAAGAAGCTACATGAAGAGCAGGAGACCCGCGTTCAATCATTGCATCGGGAATATCTCCTGGAAAAGGGAAGGGCTACCCACTCCAGTATACTTGCCTGGAGAATTCCACGGACAGAGGAGCCTGGAGGGCTACAGTCCATGGGGTCACAGAGTTGGACACGAGTGCACGAACAACACACAACCTAGCCTACTATTATTGTATTCTTATTTTCCCATTTACAATGGAAGTACCAGAAGGACACAACAGATTTGTTTTAATATCATATAGACTTTTGTTTCCAAGCAGTATGTACACATAATCAATTAAAACATATCTGAAAAGAATCATGATACCTGAGAAATGCTATGAAGACTTGTTGGTACAAAGGAACCAGGCAAGTTCAGGAGCCAGGGGAACATGTTCTGAGATAACATTTGCATTGTCAACCTGTATTGACTGTTTTTACAATTAAAAATGCTTTACAATTTGAAAAAAGCCTAGGAACAGTAAATAATTTGCCAGAGGTAACTTAACCTTGTAATTCTCCATAGCCTTGTGGTCTGTTAATCCACTGTGCTCATATTGCCTTTCCAGACAAGATGATGGGTGTTTCTGTAGACTCTGGAAACTTAATTCTGTCTCTGAAGGTTGAGGCAGTCTTCCTAAGAAAGAGACATTGGAGCTGGGCTTTGTAGAATACCCAGAATTTTCCAGGCAGAGTGGAAAGGCCCAGAACATCAGAGATGCAGAGTGGGATACATGGTGTGTGAGGAGACCAACTTACTTTGTGATCTGCTTGGTGTCAGAGGGGATATGTGGGTAGTGGAGCTTTTGGGAGGTTAAAGCTGGAAAGGTAGGTTTGCGCCAACCTCATTTTCTGTATTAAAGGCATTTTCCTTTATTTTGTGAGTGTAGGGAAGACTGGGGAAGTTTTTCAAGCAGAAATGAAATAAGATCATTTTTGTATTAGGTTGTTTCTAGGATGACTTGAATGGTGATGTTATTGATAGACTGGATAGATGAGAGACAAGGCAAGGAGATCAGTTGAGAAGGTGGTAAAATTATCCAGACAATGTGTGCATGTTTAGAATGATAGTGGGAATGAATTAAAGGCGGAAGATTTGAGGGACGTTTCTGAGGTAACGTTCTCAGGCCTTGGTAACAAATGGTGTTTGCTGGAGAGGGAGGAGTTGGATTTAACCGTGACTCATTCATTCCTTCTTTCAACAAATAGTTACTGAGTCTGCTGTTTGCCAGGTCTTGTAGTCACCAATCTAGCTGGTAGTCACCGATAAAATATTCTTGGTTCCTGTTTTTATGGACTGTATATTTTGGTGGGAGAACCAGACATTAAAAAGTAAAGGGAAATTAAATTTATAATTACAAATAGTGGTGAGAGTCATGAAAGAAAAGCAATAGAGAATCTCAGCAAGTTTACGTTTATTATTCGCCTGAAATTATCATGACGTTGTTAATCGGCTATACACCAATCCAAAAGAAAAAGTTTAGAAAAAATTAAATACCATGTACTTGTACCCTTTTAGAAGTAGTAGACTATTAAAAGTTTAATTTTCATAGTCACTGTCCTGGAGTGAAAAAATAAGTATATGCAGATACACTTTTCTAATTGTCAGTAACTAGTAAAAAAGAAGAATCATCTCTGGGACTTTAGGTTGGATTATCAACGGAGGCCCCCGAGGAAGTGCCAGCTAGGCACAGAGCTGCTGGGTGAGAAGGAAGAGCAGCGTGGTGGTGGTGATGCATGTGTGTGTGGTGGAGAGGCTGGAGGAGAAGAGCGCCTCAGCAGAGCGAAGATCCTGAGGATTGGCTTATTTCAGGAAGTGAGGGAAGAGATGTGTGCTGGCAAGCAGTAAGGGAAGGAGTGAGTACTGTGAGATAACATTGGAGTTAGTCAGGGAGCCAATTGTGCAGGATCCTAGAGGCCATGACTGAAGTTTGGATTTGATTCTCAGTTCGGTGGGAACCTCTTATCAAGATGAGTATTTCTGTTACTGTCCGGAGAATGGACTGCAGAGGAGAAAGAGCAGGCAACTAGTTAAGAGATTTCATAATAGTTCAAAAAAGAGATGGTGAGGGTCAAGGTGATGGTTTTGGTAATAGAAGTGGATGGATTCCAGATACACTTTGAAAATAGTAGAGGAATTGGTAGGTTGGAGTAGGGGCCAGGGAAAGGGAGATGTAAAGATGATTCCTAACTTTCTGGTGTCACTGGAGTAATTTTCTCAGTCTTCATGGGGTTCAGAGAGATTGATTGAGTGGGCTGAGCATAAGCTTCCATTTGGGCATGTTCAGTTTGAAGTGTCTTTGGGTCCTTTAATTGGAGTTATTGAGGAATAAAGGTCGGATTTGTGACTATGGTGTTTTGAAGAGAGGTGTGAGTTAAAAATAAGCTCCCACAGTCCAGTACTTCTCAACTCTGTGAGACCCAATCTTGCGTTTATATAGCAGGTATTTTGGAATCTTCCCTTTACTGTCTTTACATGCTCACAATTCTAAAGAATCAATATAATGCTCTAACTGTAATATGATACAGAAATGAAAATATTTTATAATATGTATTTTAATATGGACATACTTGTTAATGACCATAGTAGAAGACATGAAGTAGTCAGATTGAGTCCATGATATTTATTGAGGCATTGTATATATCAGATACTGTACTGGCTATAGTACAGCATGCAGGCATAGAGCAGTGAGCAAAACAACTTCTGTAGTCATGGAACTTAGCTTTTAGTGGGAGGAGAGAGTTAATCAGGAAAACTGTTAAGTAAGAGAGACTATGCAAGGTGGTGAGAAGTGCCCTATGTGGAGAGAATAAAGCAGGGATTCAGGATAGCAAATGCCTCACCTCCATGTACAATCTCCTGAACATGACTGCTCCTCTCACAGAGTGAGACGGTTGTGTAGTGTTGGCATCTCAGATGGGCTTTCACTGCCATAGGTTATCTGATTTTCCAAAATAGTCAGCTCATGGGAAAAAAGTTGTCCACTAATTTTCACAGTGGTTGTATTTCTTGACAATTATTTATATTAAAGTGAGTGTATATTTAAACCCCATTACAATACTTATATTTGTAAAACTGAGTTAGGTTCTAGGTAGGTTTTTGACCCATCTGGCTATCTGGTGGGAACATTTGATAGTCATGACATGGGACAAGTCTTCATTGTTGGGGACTGTCTCTTGAATTGCAGGACACCTAGGATCTCTGGCCTTCTTCACTTAATACTACTACTATTTTTCCCAAAAATACCCGCTGGCAATTTTTAAAGTTCCCTTGGAAGTTGGTTCTGTCCCTTTTGCAAACCACTGACTTAGGGGGAGAGAAGAGGGAGCAAGAAGAAGGATGGATCCTTGAATGAATTTGACATTAAGAATTTATTAGAAGTTGAGAATTGGAACGAAACATATTGTCAGCCAGTGATTTTAGGAGAGAATCAGGAAAGTAATGTCTTAGAAGGCGTTGACACTCAGAAGGAGTGACGAGGCCGGAAACCCATACAGTAGTTAAGTACGCACGCAGGAGGGCTTCCCAGGTGGCGCTCGTGGTAAAGAACCCACCTGCGGAGACAACAGGCATAGCAAGAGACCCAAGTTCAGTCCCTGGGTTGGGAAGATCCGCTGGAGGAGGGCATGACAGCCCACTCCATGGGAGAACCCCATGGACAGAGGAGCCTGGAGGGCCACAGTCCACAGGGTCACGAAGAGTTGGACCCGACTGAAGCGACATAGCACACATGCCCTGAACACGGGAGTAAGGAAATAAGGGTGGCGTGAATAGGCAGCCATTTCAAGAAATGTGACTGTGAGGGGAGAGGAGAAATAGTGTGATA